CTTTAGATTGCAACTCCTGCCCCTCTGGGAGGGCCATACCCAGAGCAAAGGCACTCCTGACAGCCTGCTCCTCTCCTGAGCTCTCTGCACGGGGCAGCCGCTCTCAGCTGGCAGCAGGGGCCGGGCAGTGCCACCAGCAGCACTTGTGGGGCTCTGGAAGCAGCCCCACAGCCGCACCCCGGGAGCGCCGTGCCTGGCCAGGAACACCCACCCAGCTTGACAGAGCCGTCCATTCCCAGAAGGATGTTGGAGCTCTTCAGATCTCTGTGGATCACCCGGTTGGAATGGAGGAAATCCAGGCCCTGCAGACACTGAGAGACAACAAGAAACACGAGGGAAAAAATCAGAGGCCGGAATATATCACACAAGAAAGGACAGTTTAGAATTCTGCCAGCAGCAACTTTGCTGTGACAGCCCAGGAGTGCAGTGCAGACAAGCTCCAGGCAAAAGGTTCAAGGCAAAGCTGAGAACAGGAAATCAGATCCAAAAAAGACAGAGAGTACCACAACAGCAGGAAAGAAGACAAGAACAGAGTAGAAATGCAGTGATATTTGCAGGCCATTCACTTCAGAGGCTCTTTCCTCTCCAGCTCATAAAAACAACACAGAAACAAAGGCCTGAGCATGGAGCCACTCTGCTCTCACAGCCTCTTTGGAAGGACCACGGTGTCCCAGCCATGGGAAGCACAAGCAGGATCCCTCACCTCCTGACTGACAGCTGCCATCTCTCCTTCAGCCATGCGTGTCTGTCTGACAACGTCCTGCAAAGTTCCTCCATCCATGTATTCCATCACCAGCCAGAGATCTCCATCAACAAGGAAGCTGGAAGAGGAGAACAATGGCACAGAGATGAATGTGCATTGCTCAATTCCCCCAGGGAAAAGCCCAGAGTGGAGTTTTGTTCCCAGGTCACTTGTCAATGAGGACAGAATCAGATGGAGAGACATTCCTGCCAGGCTGCACAGGCCTTGGAATCTGCACAGTCTAAAGGAGAAGGAGGCACCCGGGAGAAAGGAGAGGCCTTAGATGGCAAGCAGGTGAAAAATGCACTTTAGCAACAGCCCAGCTCAATGTGGAACCACAACACTTGTCCCCAGCTGCTTCAGCATCTGAACTCATCAGTTCCACCATTCCCTCCGGAACAAGGCAACACAACTTCCAGAGTTATCCAGGGGAGGAGGCCGTGCAGCACTTGGGGCAAAAGCAGTCAAATGCTTGGAAAACCTTGCACAAAGTCCCTTCAGAAATAGGCAAGGCCATTGAAAAATGGGAAAATGAGGCATTTCTGGAAACAGGAACCTGGTTTTCCTGGCACCTGCAGCAATGGGAAAGGGCTGGGAAGAAGAAGCCAAGGAAAATAATTTCTACCAGGGTTTATCAGCACTTGCTGTAAAACACAGCAAATGGGGTCAACTTGAAGAAAAAGCCAAAGCAAAGCAACAAAAGCACATGGAAGGAGTGAAGTGCCAGGCTGTTGTTCTGGGAAGATATGGCCGGGTCAGGCATTTTCAGAACAGGCTACAGACTGGGGATGCCAGGAAAGATGAACGCAGGGCCCGTGTATGGGAAAAGACCTGAAGCACTCACCTGTCCAGAGAGTTGACAATGTTGGGGTTCTTCTTGTCCTTCAGGACCACGACCTCATTCACAGCTCGTTCCCTGTTGTGCCCTCTGAGACTCATTTTCTTGATGGCCACCTGAAGGGACATTGCAGACCTTTAACTGGAGCAGTCTGTGGCAGGAGGCCACAGCAAACACGGAGCGAGTCTTTTTGGAGCGAGCGAGCCGGGCTGTGCCAAACTGCCTTGGGATGGGACACCAGAGCTCAGCAAGTGCCATTCCCACAGCCCATTGCTCTGCTCGCTGGGGCTGTTACAGGACTCATGGCCAGAGACATTTGGCTCTGTAAGCTCTGCAGAAATGCTCCCTCAGCTGTCAGCCTCAAAGCTCTAACAACATTCTCTGCACCTACAGTCTTCTCAAATGGCCTCAACACTCTTAGGATTATTATTCCAACACATTTTGCAAGCAGGAGGTAATTCTGTTTCTGTGCACACAGAGCAAAACAGCCGGGAACCCTTTAGCAATTCTATGGCATTTGGCCATGATTTCAAATGTCCCTGCTCTGTTTGGGATAGCACAACAAAGCAAACGTGCACATCCATTGCTCAGATAATCCCTGTCCCAGCTGCCACTGACACCAGACCCAAACACAGCTGCAGGGTTTAGGAGAGAGCTTTGCTCTGCACATCCATCTTCTCATTTCTCTCCTGTCTCTGTGGGAACAGCTGCAGTAGGACTAAAACCCCAAACTGAGCCCAAGCAGGATCTCTCCTTAATTAGGCCTTGAGGTATCCTGATGAAACTCAGGATGATAAAACTGCTAAATAGTGTTCCTGTCCGAGGCTGGGATGAAGGTAAATTTGGCCTCAGTCTCCACCAGCTGATGCATTCACACTTTTAGACATGAAGACCAGGCCAGCGTGTCCTGCTCTGACAGACACCGCTGCCCTCCTTGCCTTCCTTTGGGCACTTGAGAAGGACCAAGTCTGTCCCAGCTGTGCTCTGCAGGCTGACCCTGCTCTGCCTTCAGAGGAGCAGCCTGTGCAGGAAAGCTCTGCTGGGCCCCACAGCTCCAGCCACAGCTCCCAGCAGAGGGGAAAGCCCTCGAGAGCTGCCAGACGTGCCGGGCGTGTTGACACTGACCTCTCCTCCCGTGGCCCTGTCGAGTCCTTTGGAAACGGTTCCAAAAGCCCTGGAGACAAAACAGCAGAGAAGAAAGAAGCAGCGCTTTAGGCCCTGGCAGTGAAAGCCAGCCCAGACAGGAGATCTCTGCTGCCTGCAGCGTTCACGAAACACCCGAGTGCATCCACCCTTCAAACAACAGCACAGCAGCCACCAGCCCTCTGCCATGCAAGGTGTGCAAGAGAAAACTGAGGCCCAACACGAAGGAAAAGGGCTGGAGGAAATCCCAAATGTCCATGCTGAATTCCTTCAGTTCAAAACTTGAGGTAGGGGGTGGGTGTCTGAAGAACTGGAAAAGAATCTATTTCATCCTTTATATATTTCCTGCCTTCACACCTGCAGGATCCCCAAGGGCCCTGCCAGCAGGCAGGTGATGCATTTTCCCCTCCAGTGCAGCAGCTCTGTGTCTGTTACTGAATGTCTGGGGTCTGCTACCTGTGATGAAAAGAGCGCTTCTTAGCTCATCTCTGGTTTCTGTTTCTAAACCATTATGTTGATAATCCTGACTGATGGATATTTTTTTGAAACAAAGTATTTAAAAGAAATCTTCTTGAGAACTGTTTTCTGACAGTCACAGTCACCACATGGTGAGTTGCTCTTTTAGGCAATCCAATTCCAGGGACAGAAGATCTTCCAGGTCCCGCTCCTTGCTGCAGAGAGGACACTGCCAGCCTCAGGGGCCTTTGACGGTGCCTTCTGACCACAGTTATCAATTCTGATCAGACCTGAGAGACAGCAGCATCGTACCCCAGTGTCTGAAGGGGTTTGGAGCTCTCCTGACTTCTCACTGGATCCTGCACCAGCAAAATACCTGGGCCCTGCTTGTGCAGAAGTAACTGCCTTGCCCTTACCCCTGGCCAATCTGCTCCAGTTCCAGGTATTTCTCGGCAGGCTCCCCCACGCTCACGGTGTTCCCTGAAAGAAACCAGGGGGAAGATGCTCCCTCTCAGATGAGAGCCAGAATGCAGCCCCACTCCCTGGGGCCGGGAGCCCCTTGCTCTCAGCTGGGGAAGGACAATAAATGACCCTGTGCCATTTAGCTGCAGAGCAACCCTGGGTGCAGCTGATGCTGAGACACACACACAGCACCCTGCTCTGGCACACAGGAACAGAGCAGACGTACTCAGCTGCATCAGGCTCCACTCCCCGCTCCCCTCTGGCTGCAGGGCTGTGCTGCTGTCAGAATGTTCAGCCCAGGATCCTGCAGCACAGGGAGCTTCGGTGTCCTCTTCAGGAGCAGAGGGAGGTTCCTCATCCTCTTCCCAAAGCAGTGCAGGTTCCTCATCCTCTTCCCAAAAAGCTGCTGGTTCACCCTCCTCTTCCCAAGCCACAGGACGTTCTCTGTCCTCATCCCACACCGGGAGATTGCTGTCATCCTCGTCCCATGCCATGGGAGCTTGGCCATGCTCATCCCACACCAGGGGACATCCACCGTCCTCGTCCCCCACCGGGAGATGTCCACTGTCCTTGTCCCACACCGCGGGAGCCTCGCCGTTGTATTCCCAAACCGCGGGGTGTTCGCCCTCGTCTCCCAGAACAGCGGGAAGTTCACTGCTCTCTTCCTCCTCTTTGGCCTCCTCTTTGCAAGCAGAGGGAGCCAGAGGAGGTGCTGATGCTGCTTTGGTGCCCTGTGGACAGACGGGAGCGTGAGGGACGGGAAGTTCTATCTCAGTTATCACCTTCTTTATCCTCAGCTACACATCCAGCTGCACTAAGCAGAAATAGGGTTCAGAGCTGTTCAAACTAACAATGGGCTAAAGCCCACATTGCCACTTATTGTTGGGAATTCCATATTCCAGCATGGCTAAAGCCAGCAAGCAATCTTCTGCCTGCAAAACCAGTCCTGCAGCTCTTCAAAAGCTCTTCAGCAGAAACAGAGAAAACTGCAAGGGATCTCTTTGCTGCTGCTGCTGCTGCTAAAGACACTGACAGGAACTTTCCTTCAGCCTCCCAGGCTGGCACTCGGCTGCCACACGCCGAGCTCACAACTTGCTGCACAGTTCTGAACACCAAAGCTTCCTTTGCCACTCACCGAAGGAGGAGCTGCTGGGGATCCACGCGTGAGGTGCCCTGCAACGGGAGAGGGAACGTGAACCAGATGCTGTTAGGAAAAAACTGCCTGTGGTGGGAAATGAGCAAGGCAAGCCCAAGAGAGCATTTTGCTTTCACAGCATCCCTCCAGGAGCCACAGGCCCTTCACACAGCAAGCAAGAGAGCAGCACTATTGGAGGGTAAAAACGCTTGTTTGCGGTGAGAGACTTCTCCAGGGTCAAGCTGTTCAAGTATAAGCAATTTATTATAAGGGTAAATAGATGGGAGACCCGTGTCCACCACCAGCCTCAGCATCCACGTGGTCAGTGGCAGGAGGGAGAGCCTGCAGAGCAGGAGAAGTGAGGTTGGGAAAGGGGAGGGAGGGGGGAAGAGAGCAACAGAGGGGAAGAGGGAAAAACCAGAGGGAGAGAGCAGGGAAGATGAGAAGGGTAGGAGCAGGGAGAGGGAGCTGAGAGTTAAGAGTGGGGGAGAGGGGTAAAGGGGTAAGAGGTAAGGGAGAGGGGTTCAGAGGTAGGTGAGAAAAGTTAAGAGAGCTAAGAGGTAAGAGTTAAGAGAGCGAAGTTCTTGTTACAATCCAATATATCTTTTTCTATAGTGAATATTCTAATTCTTAGTAACCAATCACCATGAGACACACCCACTAAAGAATTTACATCCAGCCTATGTGCTTCCCTATATTAACATACAGTGTTGCATTTTAGGCTCTACAAGCTTTCCAAGTTCTTTCCTTGCTTTTTGACCTTTGAACTTTCTATCAGCAGAAGGACATTGTTTTATCAACAGGGATTCTCCTTTAGCTGGCTAGGCTATAGTTCTTTGGTTAACCAGTACTCAGTATCCTTGGACTCAAAGCAGGCTTTCATTTCTACTTTGATTCTAGCCTTCATATTTTCAGAATCTTCTGCCAAACAATCACATTCATAAGGTTTCCCTGTTTCACCCTCCCCAACACAGCACAAAATACTGGGCTGTGTCAGCTCTTGGCTGGAGCAGCAAACGGAGGGAGTTCCAGGCTCTGCTGCCACAGACTCCCCACTTGAGGGAACAGAACCCCCCAGGCCTCATTGCAAATGCTGTGCACGCCCCGCTGGCTGCAGACACCCCCTTTTTCAGCTGCAGCTGCTGGCAGGAGCTCTCCCAAACCAAC